CTTCATGATCGTCGGGCCGCGCAGCCACACCCGTCGCCCGGCTCGGCCCATCCCGGCCCTGATCGGCGCCGACGTCGTAGCCCTCTTCGCTCACCAGCCGCACCTCGACGCCGGGCGCGATCCTGCCCGCCGCGCCCTTGGAGTTGGGCAGGCCCTTGGGCCCCGAGCAGATGACCGAGGGCAGCGACTCGGTGAGGCCGTAGCCGTTGAGCACCGCCAGGCCCGGGTACCTCGCCTCGAGCAGCTCAAACAGCTCGGCGCTGAGCGGCGCCGCGCCGCACTGGACGCACTGCAGGCTCGACATATCGTACGAAGCGGGCACCGGGCTCTTTGCCAGCTGCAGCAGCACGGGTGGCACGACGAGGGCGGCCGTGGCGCGGTACTCTTCCACCTTGGCGCAGAAGATGTCGAGGCCGAACTTGGGCAGCACGACGACCTTCATGCCGAGCGAAAAGGGGTGGTGCATGAGCTTGATCAGCCCAAAGATGTGGTAGAAGGGCAGGAAGCCGACCTGCACGTCCTTCTGGCCAAAGTAGTCGTCGTGGGTGGCCAGCAGCGCCATGACGCTGTGGATGACGTTGGAGTGGGTGATCTGCACGCCCTTTGCCGAGCCAGAGGTGCCCGACGAGAACATGATGAAGGCCACCTCGTTGACCGGGTCGGCGACGCGGTACGTCTCGAGCTCGCTCGCCGTGAGCTGGCTGCGCACGTCCTGTTCGCCCAGGTCGCCCTGGACCAGCTCGTCAGCGTCGTCGAGCAGCCACAGGCCCGAGCTCGGGTCGGCGGCCGACGTGGGTCGGCCCAGCTGTCCTCGCGCCTCGACCCAGGCGGCGCGGGCGTTGGCGAGGCACGAGGGGTGGGTAAAAACGGCGTCGACCGAGGCCTGGGCCAGCGACTTGGCCAGCTCGCCCACGGTCAGCGCCGGGTTAATGGGCGCGGCCACCAGCCCTGCGATCTCGGCGGCAAAGATGAGGACCGGGTACATGGTGTGGTTGGGCGAGATGACGCCGAAGCGCTGCCGCGGCTGCAGACCGAGGCGGTGGCGCAGCGCCCATGCCAGGCGGCGGGCCTCGCGGATCACTTGGCCATGGCTGGAGGTGTCAGAGCAACAGACGGGGCGGACGAGCAGGCCAAGCGGTCAGCGTCCAGTGCGGAGGGTGATCCAGTGCAGCCTCTTGCTTCTGTCCTGCGGCGATAAAGCACTCACGTCCACTCTTTGCCATCCTGACGGACGAACTGGACCTTGTCGGCGAGGTGCTCGCTGGACTGGCCGCTGACAAAGTCAAAGATGTTGGAGTGGCTCGCCTTTGGCAGCGGCGGGTAGATGGAGGTGAGGATCTGGGGCGCCATTTTTGGGGCGAATAGAGAGTGATGTGCTCAGGCCGAGGCAGTTGGTGGAGAGAGGGAAGGATGAAGGGTCGGTTTGGGAGAGCTGAAAGGACAGTGTGCTTGGTAGATGACGGATGGGGAAAGGGAGCGACGAGCTGCTTTCCGTCTTTGACGATGATGCTGAGGACGGCAAGGGCTCGCTGGAAGGGGCCTATGTAGCCGGGATGTGTGAGGTGGTGGTGATAGAAGCAGAGGGGTGGACAGCTCCGCCGGCAACGGTCGGTAGAGCTTTAAAAGAAGGTGGTAGGAGTGGGACGCGAGTGAGAAAGGGGGCAAAGTGCGCAGGGAGAGGGACGTTGAAAGGAGGAGCAGAGCGGCAGCGGCGGCGGCGTCGTGAGGGTTCCTGGTTGCTCTTGTTGCTTGGCAGACCCTGGACGTCCGGTGGTGGTTGGCAGGCAGGAGGCTCGAGAAGGCAGCGGTCGAAGACAACGCAACGCACGCACGTCGAAGGCGGCGAGGGTCGTGGTCGCGCGGGCTCTAGCCTGACAGCTTGCTTGGCCGTCTCGCCTCTCTCGGAGCTCTTGGCACAGGTGCCTGGGGAGCAGCCGGTCGAACGGAGTTCTCGAAGCCGAATGTCGTACGTAGGGGTATGGCGGCTCTTTGGGAAGCCCTAGCCTGCCTCTACCTGCCTTGCCTGCTGCCCTGCTGCCCTGCTGTACGCCCGCGCTGCTGCCTTTGACGCCTGCAGTAGGCCGACGCCCTGGCTAGACCAGGTACCGACCGGCAGGCAGGTAGGGATACCGACGGCCAGCCGGCCGCCCCTCGACCACCCACACACAGCCTGGCCACGCAATTTTTACCGGCACGCACAGAGCTGCGCCCACATCAATTGTCCATCAGGTAGTAGTCACACCCTGCCCCATCAGGCCGGTCGGCTCCCTTTGAAAGGCAATTTGGAAGGCAAGCTTGCCAGCTCAACTGTGCGGCCAAGTCGAGCGGTCGGCCCGAAAGGACTAGCCGCACCTGCCGCACTGGGGATGGTTTGCAGGGATCACACCCTGCTTTGGGCGGTGTTCATCTTGCGCTGCATTGCGCTCTGTACCGTGACAATGAGGAGCGCCGCAGAGGCAGGTGGGCCGATAGACCCGACCAAGCTCACTCATTGTCGTCGACGGAGGGACCGAGGGAGCAAAGAGAGTCAGTCGAGTTCAAAACATCGTCGTTCCGAACCAGCTCGGACTCGCAGCCACTCCGGCACGGTTGGGCGGGCCCTCGAGCGAGACCTTGCGCTCCGTCGGGTCACCAGCCGGGCGCCCGTCCGACGGCAAAGTCTTGTGCCTGGCTCAGGAGCAGCGAGGAGGCGAGGCACCGACTGCGTGAATCCTAAGCAAAGGAAGACGTACGGTCCGGCCTGGGGCGTTCGTACTACTGAAATCTGCAGGCAAAGCTGCGACATGGTACATACGTCAACCCGCTCTCGCCCTTCGATAGACCATGCGGTCTCGATCCATGCTCGCCGCTCTGCGCTGGACGCTACTGCCCAGCCTAGGCATCGGGATCGCAGGCAGAAGCATCCAACACAGAGGCTGACTACAATGCCTGGCTTGAGCGCTTGCACGAGCATCGTACAAGACAGCGCCTACACCTTCCTCCGGACCCCGAAAACTGTCGCCGCTGCGTGATCGGCTCCTGGCCGCCCTGCATGCCTGAGGATACGGAACTGCATGGTCTTCGGCAGACGGCTTCAGCGCGTACGGTCCAAGCTCGTACGGAAAGGCTGCCCAGGTTCTCTTCCGGTCGGCCCGCTGGAAAACAAGCTATGTCGTCCGTCTCCTGTGCTGAGGCTATGCGGTCGCCTCGATCCCGATGTTTGGACGCAGAGGTACCCGGTCGACCCGTGATTTGCTTGTTCACTCCGCCTTGCCGAGCCGGTGAGGGAGGTAGGCAGGCAAGCAAGCAAGCAGCGGAGACGGCCGTCGGGGCCTCCACGCGGTCAGGAGCACCGCACCGCACCGCTTCGCAGCGCTACCGCCAACAAACCATGACCCAGGGATACCGTTTCATCTCCCTTTACATACATCGACGTCGGGCCGTACGTGTGCGGACCTTCTCGAAGACTTCAAAGCGAGTCTGAGTTGCAACGCAAAGCAAACGTGCGTACTGTCCCGCACCGTGCGGCTCCCTTTCGGCTCGTTCGGCCCGCACGGAGAGACAGGCTTCGATAGAAGGATGCGGTGAGACCGAGGGTCTGGCTGACTTTGAGGCTGAGCAAAAGCCGGGCTCCGTACGTGCATCCGGTACGGACATCGTGTGCGTGGTCCAGACGGTCGTTCGTACGTGCGGCTCGCCTGACCTCTGACGTGCTGTCTCGCTGGAAGCCCGCTGCAGGCAAACCGCCTTGCCGAATCCCCTATGGCAGCGGAAGCAGCGTCAGGGGCCGCTCAGATTCGGACCGTACCGAATGCACGCACGCACGCACGCACGTACGCACGGTACCGGTACCCCTACTGAAGCCAAAGTCCGGCCGATGATGATTAAGATTGCGATGGTGATGAGCTGTCCTGGCCTCGAGCGTGACGGAGAGAGTTTCGAGGGACGACCGGCAGGCAAGCCGGCCCGTCGGTCGGCTGGGTCCGACGATCGTCGGTTCCCTCTTCCCCTTGGCTCTCGGTCGATCCGCGGCCGGCGGTGTCGGACGACGGTACCGTACCGCCGTGCAAGCAGATAGAACAGACCGGCTGTGCCGTGCCGTGGGAAGAGGCGGTGAGAGCCAGGGGCCTATCTGACCGCCCGCCCCCCTCGCCTCTTCTTCCCATGAAGGCCGACGTGGCCGTGGGCAGGGGAGGAATGCGAGGCAAGGCAAGGCAGGGGGCCGCAGCGAGGGCGGTAACGGACAGCTGAACTCCGAGGCCGCAAGCGCATGAAAAAGAAATTTCTCCCTCGCTCTCCTCGCTCTGGTCTGCTGGCCACGGGAGAACAGGGTCCACCCTTTGGGCGCTGGCCAGCGCCGTACGTCTGCTAGATTACGCACATCTACCTACCGCCCACGCCCCCCGGCAGATGTGCAGCACGCCTTGCACGACGCACTGCCTCCCACCTCACCTCACACGCAGCGGTCCGGCATGTTTGAGATTCCGGTGTGTGCGGAACCGCAAACAAAGCCTACGTACAGTAGGAGTTCCGGCAGGGCAAAGGCCGAGACCTGTGCGATTCAGTCGGGCCAGCAGCACTCTCGGCTGCCATAGGTACCGTGAGCCGAACTCGCTCCTTGCCTCGCCGCCTGCCTTTGCTGGCGGGCGAGCCCGTCAGGCTGGCCGCCTCTATCTTGCTATCTTTGGAAGCGTGCGGTCGCCGCAGCCGAACGCGCATCAGTGTACCTAGTGGTAAGCCGCTTTCGGTACTGTATGTACGTACGCCCAGCGCCAGACGGAATCAGGCGAGACCGTGGCCAGCATCGCCGAGTTCGGGGCGCCAATCCATATTGCTGCGGTACTGCACGTACGGTGACCCGGCGTACCCCCCGCTTGCCGCAGCATGGACGCAGTGCTCATACGCACCACCGTCCTCGCCCGAAGCGCGATGGTGTCAGAGCCAGAGGTTTCGGGGTGCCCAGGAAGAGCAGGCGAGCGGCCAGGCGTGGCATCGCATGACAGACAGGCGGACAGGCGATCGACGGTCGGAGTTTTGGGGCCCACGCTAACTTACCCATTCACCCACGCAGACAGATATGTAGAGCGTACATGCCAGCATGCGCCCGTATGTCGACCCGGAACGCCCCTGCCTCTTTTCTTCACCGGGCGTACATCGATCCCCTTTCTTCTTGTTCGGCACAGCACCGGCCCGTAGGCACAGCATCGGCCCGTAGGCACAGCATCGGCCCGTCATCCTCGCCGGAACCCCGATGATGGCGTGCAAGTCGACAATGGAGCCCGTCGTATGCCACGATGTGCTTCGATCTCGGTCGTCGCTCCCGCCGTATGTGCGCTGCGAGGGTGAGTGAGCCCTGGGGTTGGCAGCAACGCAGGACGGTTACGCTGCGATGCCGTGCCGTGCCGTGCCGTGGTTCCGGGGTGTGGGTTGGCCTGGTCGCACCGAAGATCGGGGCCAAGCCTTTTTTGTGCGGAACACCTTTGTCTGCCGGCCGGTGGCGACCCGCTGGGTCGCCTTCCTTGACTTTTACAAAGAGCGTCGCCCTCGCAAACTTTTTGCCAAACTTGAAACTTTGTTGCAGCTGCCACGCTCGGCCTGGGTAGGTGGCGGTACCTCGAGATCGACGCGATAAAGTGGTTAATGTACCAGCTTTAGCTGCGGGAAACAAATTCTCCGAGAGATGTCCGACGCTAGCGTGCTGGGGCGGCGCGGGTAGCGGTGGTTCAACGTACCGCCTGCCTGGTCAACGCCCATCAAAGGGCGCACGGCGGGCGTCTTGCGCTTGGCGCGGAAAGCGAGACGGTCCGGAAGTGGTTCCGCCGTCCGTCCAGGGCGTGACAACCGCACCCACGCCCTCCTTTCTAGCGTCCACCTGCTCGCAGTCCCTTGCTCGGCGTCGCCCGTCGCAAAGGAGGCCTTGTCTTCCAGCAAACCGGCTCGCACAACGTCGCACTTCAGGGCTCCTTTCCGAGGGTATGGCGAGGGGGGGTCTGTACGTAGAACGGAAGCGTCGACTCCGAGACAGCCCTTGCCGTAGCCTGGTTGCGCCCTCGCCAGCATCGTCACCCAGGTCTCATCCAGCTATCTCTTCAAAGCCCATCCCGACGCACTTTTTCAAAACTTCCTCATCTTTCTCCTCAAACCTCGACTTTCGAAACCTTCCTGTTTGCACGTTCGCAAGGATGGTCGTGGTCGGTGTCTTTGGTCCACGCGATGTCTCGCTGCGACCTGCGACCTTTGAGGTTTGCAGATTCAGATGCGGACGAAACAGGTCGCAGATCCACGCAACCTCGGTGAGCTCTGCGCCGTCTCTTCCGTCTCGTCACTCGTCTGACGCACAACGATGTCCCAGCCCAAGCCAAGCTTCCTGCTTCTTCCTGTGGCCATCCCGTCTTCTTCATCTTCCAAAGAGAAGCTAAGGCCAGACCGAAGGGCGCAGCACCTTCGACCGCCGCCTGGAAGCCCACGCATGCATGCCACCAGCGTCGATGGTGCATTTCACGCGACCCAGCCAGATGCATATGCCTGCCTGCCGTCGTACGTTGGGGCGGTTCATGCAAGTCACTACTCTTTTTGCCATCGCTGCGTGTGACTGTCGGGTCCCTCTTGACTGCCTCTGCCAGATCGCTTGCTTGCCACTGCCACTTCGCTCGAGCGCGGTTAGCGCTCATCATCGCGCCGCTCTCCCAAGTTTCATCCACCCCGGCCCATCTCGCGGCGAAAGGCGCACCCGCCGCCACGAGCGAGGACAGTTTCGAAGGACCACTTTCTCGTGCAGATGGGGATACGGTAGAGACCCGGCAGCACAGCGGCCAGCACCATCGCGCTCGATGGTGCCGAACAGAGCCTGCCGTCTTTGCCGTACGACCGATCTCGTTCGACTTGCTGCCGAGCGGTCCCCGAACCACACTCGGTCCCTCCTCGTGGCCGCCGCCGTGCATGCTCCAAGCGATCGTCTCGAGCGGTTTGGGCTCTGCGCATTGCACCGGTGCTGTACATACCGGTATGTCTGCGACGATGACGGCGGATGAGGCGAGCTAAGACCCAGCGAACCGCACGTTTTCGCGACGGAAGAAGAGATGGTCCGAGGATCCACGGGGACGCCAGATGCCCAGCTAGCGTTGAAACTGAGTCGACCATCGTCGCTCGGTGACTTTTCCACGGGCGGTTGCCTCACGGCGTGGCAACCGGCTGCCAGCTTCGCGTGCACACAGCAGTTGCTTTCTAGGCGCCCTCCCGGGGCCCAGAAAGGGAAGCGCCGAGGCGAGGTCGTGGGACAGCTTCGTTTCTCATCCTATCGCGCGCACCGGCAGGCGTATGCAGGCGAACGACGAGAGCCTCAGAGGAGGCCAAGCGTTCTTCCATGCCCTAACCTCCTGCCTCTGCGCGCTTTCTGCTTCCCTGCAGTCGCACTCTAGAAGGCAGCAGGCAGGAGATATGCCTGACCGAGGCGCTAGAAGGCGCTCCGAGAAAGATCGATGGGTGACAGTCAGCTGTACCGCGGAGCTGGTGGTACCCTCCCTTGCGATGTCGGCGACAGGGATCGAAATTGATTCTGTCTGCCTCTCCCTGGTCTTTTGCGGTGCAGCAGAGAAGAAGCAAAAGAAAGAAGGAGGAAGGAGGCAGGAGTGCCTTGCTTGCCGGCCGCTGGCAGCGGAACGGCGGAGCGAGAGAACATCCCGTAGCCCGGCAGGAGGGGAGCAGGCAAGGAGCGCCGGAAGAGGGGCAGCGATGCCAGGAGGAGGGCTCGGGGGGCAGTGAAGGAGGGGTGTGTCCCTCAATCTGGCCTGTGGAATGGCCCTCTGCCGTGCACCAACGTAACGTCTGGCCGGCAATCAAAGCCACGCTCCCCTCGCCCTCGCCCTCGCCCTCGTCCTCCGCCGGTGTGCCCTGTCGCCGCACCTCCTACTTTGCAACTCACCCTTCTCGATGCCCTCGCCCCTTCTTCCTGCGCTCCTCCACTCTCTCGACCCAAGACTGACTACCTGACTGGCTGTATGCCACCAAGAAGGCAGACCCCTCCAACCCAACCGCACCGCCCGCTCCCTACCGTATCTTCCCTTCTCTCCAAGCAACCGCACTACTTTTAGCCTTCGTCCCGCCTGCATCCATCAGCTGTCCTTTCCCCGACCCCCTCCCTGCACCCTCACCACCACCGTCCACATCCACAGCAACGGACTACAGCAGCAGCAACCACGACCGCAACAACGCAACAGCACGAGTCAGCCATCGACGCCCTCGTACATACGACCAGCAGCTGATCCTCCCCTTTGGCATCAAACGGATCGGAGACTTTCCACCACCACCGCGACCTCTCGAGCACAAGCAGGTCTCGTCCGACGAGAGACCAGGCCTCTTCAAGCCACGACAACGCACATCACGCCGCTTGGTGCCCTCGCGACCTTTGGATCCTTACGGCCACCCCCTGGAGTCCCCTTAATAGAGCAGCAGACCGACCGCACTTCCCCTCTGCCCCACGGACACTCCTCTCCAAACCCTCTCCATCTCTCCCACTGCCCGTCTAGCCACCGATCTCGGAACCATGTCTGGCTTCTCGAGCGCCGACGGATACGCCTACCGCGAGAGCGGCTACGTCGACCCCAACGGACCGCTGCCCGCCAAGTCCACTGCGCACGACATGGCGGCCCTTGGCGAGTATGCGGGGTACGAGGACCTGATCAGCCAGCTCTCTCGAGCAGGCATCAGCCGTGAGTAGCATACAGGGCGTTGGGCCGCCCGTTGTCTAGCCCCAAGGTGCACCCTCGCTGACGTGCTCCGGACTGCCCGCCCGCCGCGATGCCCATCAACAGCTGGCCAGACGGTCGACAGCCTGCAGGCCTCGCCCGACTTTAGCCACACGCCGTCGCATACCTCGAGCGAAGGCCACGGAGACGAGGCGCAGACGCCGCCGGAGCGGGGATCCTACGCTTCGCACACGGACAAGCGGTGGGGCGCGACTTGTTCGCTGCCCCGCGACCACCAGCAGCTGCAGTACCGCCTTGAGCGGGCGCGCCACCCGAGCGACTACGAATACCTGCAGCAGGGCCCGCGACCGGGGCTCTACTCGCAGCAGCAGCAGGAGCAGCAGAGGCAGAGGCAAGACGACGGCGGCGAGATCGAGGTGCTGGACGAGTCGACGGTGCCGTACGGCACGGCACACGGCAAGCTGCGGTCGCCCATCTCGGCGCCCGACGGATGGAGGTCGCCCAAGTCGCCCGTATCTGCCGAGGGCCGGCCCGAGAGCCTAGGCGGGTCGCGTCGACCCTCGGCCGTCAACAGCCTGGCGGGCGACAGCGACGGCGGAGACCGGCCCTACACCAAGCTTTCGCACCATGATATCGTGTTCCGCGCCTCGAACATGTGAGTAGTCGGTGCAAGGGTGATACCTGGATGGCGGCCTTGCCTTTGGGAAGAGCTGAGTTGCGGAGTGTCGACGATGGCAGGCATGCGGTCCGCTTCGGTGGTGCCTGGCAGCGGAGCCGTGGACGGCCGTGGCGGTGGTGGTGCTGGTTTTGGTGGTGGCAGCAGGCAGCGCTTGCCTGAGGAGCGAGCGGCGTTTGGCCCACGGCCCGCGCCCTGCCACATGGCCGTCGGCCCGCGCTAGCCTAGCCCGGCTCTGATTCTCGCTTTCAAATTTGAAAAAACAAAGGGACACGGCACGCTAACGGCCCCGCCCTTCCGCCCCTCGCTCCCCTATGCCGCCTTTGCCCCTCGCCCCCGCCGCTCTTCTTGCGCCCTCGACCATGTGCTGCGACTCTTACTGCGCCGCTGCCGACTCTCAGCCCGGAGCGCAATCTCGACGCCAAAGAGTGTCGCCAAGTGCTGGCCCACGCCTTCCCCTCCATCTGTCAGGCCCCCGTGCGCCAGTTTGGTGAGGATGGCACGCCCCTGCCCCCGACAAAGAAGGACGAGACCTCGCCCGAGGAGCTAGAGGCGCGCAAGCACGCCCTCGACATCCGCCTCGTCGGCCGCACAAAGCTCTCGCTCCTCAAGGCCATCGTCATCCTCGAGAGCCGCTCGGGCTCGTGGAAGAGGATGGGTTCCGCACTCGCCGCCCCTTCGCCTCCCTCTCCCAATTCTACATCTTCAGCGGCGGCGGCAGCGGCGGGCACCTCGGCCGCCGGCGCTGCCGCCACCATGCGGCTGCCCGCCATGCCCAGCCCGTGGACCATCGACATCCAGCACCAGGACCTCGACGTCGCCGCCATCAACGGTCGCAGCAAGCAGATGTTTGAGCTGCCCGGCTGCAGGCAGGACGCCTGCTGCCACAAGTGCAGCGGCAAGGGCAACGAGACCTGCTCCACCTGCCGCGGCGAGTCGGCCGACGAGTGCTTCTGGTGCGCCGGCACCGGTCGCGACAAGTCCAAGGCCTCGTCCTGCCGCCGCTGCAAGGGCGAGGGCGTGCTCAGGTGCACCGCCTGCGACGGCAGCCTGGTGAGCGCCTGCAAGACGTGCCAGGGCACCGGCTCGGGCCACTACGTCTACGTCGTCGAGGTCAAGGTCAAGCGCATCGAGATGCCCACCGCGTCCATCACGTCGCTCGTCCCCTTTGCCAACCCGAGCTTCGAGACGGTCAAGAGCGCCGCCATCATGCAGCTCCTCGAGTCGACGCACCGCCTGGCCGAGGCGGCGGCGCACAAGTCCAAGAAGCCCTACATCCCCGTCATGGCCGCGTGCAGCTGGGAGACGTCGACGTCGGGCATCGTCGAGGTCAAGGTCCCGCTCGGCGCCAAGTTCAAAAAGGGCGCCAACCCGGCGCTGCGTCCCGAGGGCCTGTCGCGCAAGATTGCCACGGCCACGCGCTTCTTCTGCATCCCCTCGGACCCGGACCTCAAGCCGACCGAGATGTCGCAGGACGAGGTGCAGCGATCCCGCCTCGACCGCGACGCCATCGTCGCCGCCGGCGAAAGTGGTGGTGGCGCGCACGCCACGCCCATCGAGGCCATGACGCCGACGACGCCCATGCCGCGCGAGTTTAGGGCGGTGCGGCCCAGCCCGCTCTCGCAGCTCGTCTCGTCGCCCGCCAACAGCACGCCCGGCACGCCCTCGCTCGGCATGACGGCTTCCGCCAGCCTGCCCAACCAGCCGCCGCTCCAGACCGACTACATTGGCAACTACCAGCAGCACCCCTCGACCCTGCCCCCGACGACGCAGCAGCAGCAGCAGCCGCAGCCGCCGTTGCAGCATGGACGAAAGGGCAGCGCGGGGACGGCGTCTAAGCTCTTTGGGCGGATGCACCCGCGCGGCCTGGTCTCGTCGAAGAGCCACGGTAGCCTTGCCAGCCAGATGTAGCCGCGTTGGACCTCCCGCCGTGATTATACTACTACAAGACCACGCTCGCTCCCCGGCCACGTATCCTATCCTCTTCTCTCCTGTCGTTTGGATGTATCTCGAGACGCACCGCAACCCCTCCCCAGACAGACCTTCCCGGTATTCGTAGCAAACCACTCTCCGGCTCTCGCAACACGGTCTCTGCGGATCTCTGTCGGCATGGAAACCTCGCTCGGCCCTTTTTTTCTTCCTTGACCCATCCTATCGTATCATGGTGGCGCGGGTTCTGGAAGTGCAGCATCGTTCTAATACTACTCACTCGTGGCCTCGACGCGCCCGTGTGGCGAGAGTGATGGCTTGGTAGCTCGAGATCGATCAAGGATGCTACAGTACGATGCAGAGTTGCTTTGCTCTACGTACTGCGGGAAACAGAGGAGGCGGGGTTGGGGGTCTCCATTCCAAGTCTTTCCTGAGTCGAGGGCCCCTCCACCCCCTCTGATACACGCCACGCCACGCCGCCTGGCGGCATCGCACAAACACATCCAAGCCCCATCCAGAGGAGGCAAGCGAGCTGAACAGGTCGTGCGGTGCAAAATCAAGGAATGTGACTGCGTTGCCTCGTCTTTCTCTATGCCGCGAGATCCAAAGAAGACGATCAGACGAAAATGTTACAGCGGGGAAAAAAGGACAGGGACGAGGGGATAGGGGATCAAAAGACGACCGACTGGGGATTACAAGGAGCGAGTACGAGAGGACGGATGCGAGGGAGAGGGGTCGCGGGCGCGGGGAGGGGAGGGCGGCCAAGCTGCTACGGCTTCTTGTTGCTCCGCGCCGTCGGGTTCCACTTTTCAAACTTGATAAACTCGCGGAAGTGGCAAAAGATGCTCATGAAGCTCACGCCGCTGTAGTAAAAGGGCGTCAGCAGCCCAAACGCAATGATGCCGAGCGGCCGCGTAAAGTTGCTGCGGTTGCGCAGCGTGATGCAGATGGTGATAAAGAGGCAGATGAGGTTGACGCCCAGCGCCCACATTGACAGCTCGAAGCCGCCGAAATCGCGGAAAAACTGCTTCAGGCCGCGTCCGGGGAAGCACATGATGATCGACGTGACGAGGATCATGAGGAGCTGCGTGTTGATGTAGAAGTAGAGCTCGCGGTAGACGAGGAGCTGGAAGAGGCCGAGGCGCGAGCGCCAGCCGTTGTCGTCGCTGTAGGCGCCGCGGCGGACGGCGGGCAGCGCGTGGCGGAAGGCGACCTGGGTCCAGCCCTGGGCCCAGCGCATGCGCTGCTTGATGAGGGCGGGCATCGTCTCGGGCGCCAGCTCGTACGACTTGACCTTGAGGTCGTACTCGATGCGCGCTCCCGAGATGATGGCGCGCAGCGAGCTGTCAATGTCCTCGGTGAGCATCTGCTTCTGCATGCCCAGGGTGCGGAGGAGCGAGGCGTTCCAGTGGCCGTTGGAGCCGCCAAAGAAGCCGTAGCCCTGCACCTCGGCGCGGCCCGAGTGCATCACGCCGTAGATCATGTCAAACTCGGCGGCGACGAGGCGCGTGACCCAGGTCTCGTCGTAGTTGTAGATGCAGCAGCGGCCCTGGATGATGTCGACGCCGCCGGCGAGGAAGCGGCGCGCCACCCAGCGCAGCGCGTTGGGGTCCGGGTAGTGGTCGGTGTCGTAGAGGGTGATGATGTCGCCCTTGCAGCCGTCGAGGGTGAGGAAGTGGTTGATGTTGTCGGCCTTGGACGTCGAGTTGGGCACCTTTACGACGCGGAGGTGCGGGTGGGCGCGCTCCATTTCGCGCAGCTCGGACTCGACGGGCTCGATGGGCTTGGGCGTGTTGTAGACGACGTTGATGGTGAGCTTGCTGGTCGGGTAGTTGATCTCGCGCAGCGCGTAGCGGATCTGGCGCATGATGATCTCCTGCTCGTTGGGCAGGTAGGCCACCAGGACGACGTCAATGGCCGGCCACTCTTGCCCGTTTTCCAGCTCGGCCCAGCCCTCCTTGCGCGCCTTTCGGTCGGCGCGGCGGGCCTTGACGGCGGGCCGGATGGCCTGCATGGCCTCGGTCGAGACCGAGAGGGCGGTGAGGGTCTGGAGGGCGAGGTAGATGTACCAGAGGATCTCGTGGAGGATCGAGGGGATGGCTACGTAGAAAAAGAAGCTGAAGACGATGTAGGTCCACAAGAGGATGGTGGGTGTGCTGGCGTAGATGAGCGCCGAGAGGTGGCCCAGGGCGCCGCCGAGGCCGCCGGTGGTCGAGGAGCCCATGCTTGGAGCGGGTCTTCCAGAGGGTTCCTTGATGTGATCCGGAGGATGGTCTGAAGAAGAGAGGGAGGACGAGCGCGAGCTTAATGGACGGAGGGAGATGGGAGAGGTGAGCGTCTTGGAGGAGCGGATAGGGGGCGAGAAGGTGACGAGGATCGAGGAGGAGAGAGAGAGAGAAAAGAAGAAGAAGTGGTGAGGCGGCAGCGAGCCAAGGGTCTGCCAGAGTGGAGGAGGTGGTGGCGGGCAGCGGTGGTCCAGCCTGTGGCAGGCAGGCAGTCTTCGGTCACTTGGTCGAGAGGTAGAAAGAGAGGCAAGAGGAGCAACAGGCTGCACGCAGGGTCGTGGCCAGGCAGGCTACCTAGCCTTCTCAGCTCAATACTGTACTGGCAGGCCGGCCTAGCCTGCTGCCGTGGCCACTTGGAGATAGGATACGGCCTGGCTCACGGCCACCGCTTTGGACGCCGGCCGCGGCCGCCGCTGATGGCCCTTAGCTTGCAAACGGTACAGGCCAGAGAGAGACCCGGTGGAGGCAGCGAGGTCCAGCCAAGCTCGTGCTTTCAGGAGGCTAGGTTGGGCGTGGCTTGTACGACGGCGGCCTAACCCCTTTCTGAGTTTCAGACCCACGAAAGCGAGCGGTGCACGGCGTCGTAAGGCTATGTACCACCGGCCTGCAATGATGAACGTACAGGCAGGCCAGGACGTGTGCGAGCGTCTCAGCTTGCACGCACGGCGGCATACATGGCCCCGCCTGGCTGCGGGTACCAGTAGGCACGACGGTACGGCGTGTCTCTTTTTGCCGGTGCGACAAAGGCAGGGCGTACGTGCGCCGAAACCATGCCCGCCTTGCTGCGGGCACCCAGAAGTCGGCGCCAGTGCCAGACTCTCTACTCTGTCGCTGGTTGGCAGCCCCCCCCCCCAGAAGTTCCACCTTGGACCGCACGCGTAAGCCTGGCTTGACCCTACGCACCCTCTGACGGCAGAATCCCGCCCCGTTTTCTGTCGACCTTTCTTTAGCTCGTTCGATGTATGGGCCCACCCCCCCGATCGGCGCCTTTTTTTTCGATGGTTCGAATTAATCGAATCGCTCGCTCTTCGGCCGCGCTAGACGCCCTCCCGATGGCCCGCGTGCTGCTCAACCTGCCCGCCCGCCCGCCTGCCTGCCTGCCCGCCTGGCTCAGCAAACAGGCTAGGCCGGACACTCTAGCCTACCCGATGCAGATCTCCTCAGCCTAACGCTGCCACCCGACCACCATGGCCGAGCTGGCCGCTATCGATCCACCGTGCGTACCGTATCAGATCGTCGCAGATGTGCGGCCATCGCGTCGCATGCCTGGCCCGGCCCGCATCGCAACGACACCACGCGCCGCGTCGTAGAGATGACCGGGCTGAGACCGCGCTACCGACGTCTCGGTGTCATGGATCCTGACCATGCCCCTCCGCGGCGAGCCTACTGTAGCGTCATCGCGTGGCAGGCCTCCGCGGTCGGCGAATTGCGCTCGCTCACCGGCGCCGCCAGCACTTCCGTCGCTTCCGCCTTGCAAGCCCATCTCGCATCCACGGTCCGTTGCAGGTTTCGCTACAGTACTGTACACTGTAACGGACGCGAAGCCCTCATTTCGATCCCTTCGGACACGTCCGGCGGTCGTGACAGGACAAGATCCTGTCTCTTGACGGGCGCACGCGAGCAGATGGCATCAGAGCTCCTCCGAGACACTCAGCCTGACTATCGTGACGCCCAGATGGCCGACGGTGTCGACCGCGTAACTCCTACAGTACGTCCTGCCCGGACCGGATCCGATGCCATCCTCGTCGACTTGCTCTCGGACGACAGGAGGCGGCGTCGCCATCCATGCGCTACCTCTCCTTGCCCCGCTTGCCGGAAGAGCTGCGTGGCTCCGTATCGCCTTCGGCCACGGGGCTCGACATGACCCACCCTTCAGCGCTCGGCCGCCCCACCGTCCTCGATGGCGGGCAAGCGGGTGCTTTTGCATCGCAGAGCTGGTGCGCAGCGTCTCAGTGGGCTGCGAGGGACTTCTTTGGCCGTCCATTACCCACCTCAGCCCGTATCCACCAGTTTGCAACGCCCGAACCCCTCATTGGGCGCGACAGCCCCTTCTGCCCTGCTTCAACGGCCTGTATCAGCTGGGCACCGTCTCCGGCCGGCGATCCTTCCTTCGCTATCCTTTTCGGGACGCTATCCGTGCCCCCACCGATGGCAACAGCTCCGCCTGGTCCGGCAGAGCGACTCATTCTTTAATGTTTGCCCCAGGACGGACGTCACTCGACCCCACGCTCGAGATCGCCACGCTCGGGGCGCAGGGACGACGTATTTGGGCGGTCCTCGCTCTTTCAAGGTGGGTTATCGTAGGCTAGCACCCTCCTCGCCTGCGTTTCCATCTGGCCGCTTCTCTGATTGCCCTGGCCCGGGCCCGCCGTGACCGAACGGCCACGCTACGGAACACAGAGCGCTCTCGTTTCGCGGGGGGAAGGCCGGGGCGGGCTTGGACGCAGGCAGCGTTGGTCTGACCTTCATAAGAACAGAGAGGAGACCTCGCTCAGACAGACACGACGCTCCCCCTCTCGGCCAAGCCTCTCAGCGCACACCAAACTCCTTTTCGCTCCGCGACTCGAGCTTTTCGAGCCCATCCCAACCAGACATCAACATGAAGTCATCCGTCGGCGTCAGCTCCTTCGCTGCTGTCCTTCTCGCCGTCGGCCTCTGTCTGCCTGACGGGGCCCTGGCCTCTCGCGCCTATAGCACCACGGGCGGAGGACGCCTGACCATCGCGACGGCACCTCCAGGCTTCTGCTACTCGATCATCGAGCAGAGCGACACGGACAGGTGGAACCTGCTTCAGAACGGCCACGCCCTCTTCCCGCTCAGCATCAATGTCGGCCACAGGGAGAGCGGAGGGCCCGATTCTGGCGGCTGCTCCCGTCTGGATCCGACCAACGAGGCATTGCTGGGTGCCTACCGCGATCTCTCAAACGGAAGCTTGAAGGACAAGTACCAGGTTCAGGGTGAGTGCGGCGGTGCACAGAGAGGATGGCCGGCGGAAACGTATGCGATAAGCACGATGTTGACCCCGCTCGCTCCCTGCACCGTCTCGCTGTACATTCAGTCAATGGACAGGCGCGGGACATCTCGCCGTCTCGCTAGGCCTCGCACACAGCCTCGGCGGCGAGAGAAGACGCGCGCTCTTGCAGCGATACTGAACGAGGTGGCGAGATTTCCGCCCCGCAAGCGCAGGCTCTTGCGGTCACCTTGCGCGCCTTGTAGCGCTACCTGGCCCCTTCTGTGCCGGTCCCCTCGCTCCTAGCATTGTCCATCGTCCTCGCTCGTGTCGAGCTGAACGAAATCGAATGGCTTCGACAGCTGACCAGGCCGTCGCGCAAAGAAGGGTAGAACTGAGCGTGTGCAGCATCGACCGGGCCGACCCGGGCCACCGCCCACCAAGCCACGGCACGACACACGGGCTCCACCTCCCCAATCGCCCAGAGAGGCGAACCAAGCGCCAAGGGGCTCACACCTGTTCTCCTATACCGCAGTCTCCTCAGCTCTGTGTTCTGATCCCGCTCGCGCTGACGAGCCCCCATTCCGACATGGCGGTGCTACGTTGTCGAACGCTTCAGCTCCTTTTGATCGGGCAGCATGATCTTTTCTTCTATCCGCAGGAAGGAACGGGGTGCCACTCGGCCCCACCTCGAAGCACCACAACCGGATCTTCGATCGCCCAGCAGACCCGCAATTCCCTTGTTGACCACGGCCCCTCCATCGGTCAGCAACGTTGGAAACCCACAAAGGGCGAGAGGCTGCTGCTTGCACCGGTGCTGGCAGCGTTGGACCGTCATGACTGTCTATAAGAAGCGCCCGAGTCCGCATTCGCGTGGAGAGGCAAAGCCGCTTTCGTCACCCCGCCGAGGGAGGGTTCAGGACGGAACGTGTTCAAGAGGCTCAGCACTGCGGGCAGCCCCGAGTCCACCAGGTCGTCGGTCAGTCTGCTGCGAGGCACGCGGTGGAAGGGAGGAGGGCGGGGAAAGAAGGAACTGCCGGCGTGTGAACGACGACGGCGGCCCAAGGAGAGAGGATGGGGGAGAGAAGGAGGAGGCCTCGGTGGCGAGGCAGCAGAAAATCTGCCGCGCCGACGAACTGGCATCCGCCACGCCCGAAACCGAGCGCGCGACGACGATTGCCGCAGTTTGCCATGTTCGACATGCTGGCTTAGGCAAAATGGCCTGTCGCAGCTACACTCGAGAGGCGAGCAGGACTTCTGCCTTGGTCGAGCTGCAGCCTCTTCTGGCATGGTACTAAAGAGCCTCTCGCACGCATACCTCAGTTGCTGTAGCGGGTGATGGGCTGGAAGGCCCCATTCACTGTTTCGGACGGAGATGTGCAACCATAAGCAGACGTCAGCCGCGCTTCCGCTGCCCCGCTTGAAGCCTTGCAAACACTCCTCACCAAAAAGCCTGAGGTCAGTGTTGATGCCCGATCCAGCGAGGAGGGCGTTGTAGACGTCGGGAGCAGACGTCTTGTCTCGGCAGTCCTGGCTCTTGTCCGCGATAAAGTCGCCGATCGCGGGACGGTTTGGGCCCCAGACAGACTTGCCCTTGTACCAGATGTTCCAGGTGCTTCCTGCGGCCGGCGACTCTTCGCTGAAGCAGATCCAGTCGTCGGTCGCTCCGCCGACGACCGTGCGGTGGCCGATGTGCAGGATGCCTTCGGTCGCGGTCCTGTACATGGCATCTACGACGGGCGCGGCCGAGCACTGGCTGGCCGCAACGAGGATGGCGACGGCGGGCAGAACGAGGGAGAGCTTCATGTCGACTGTGGTACTGGCTTCTTTGGGACAATGGGTGGAGCTCGGCTTGAAGTTATCGGGAGGGGTGGGTGGGTTGTCAGTCAGGTCGAGCGGGATTCGACCTCTCCTTTATAGACGACAGGGCGGGGTGGTTCGCAACGAGCGTTGTCGTAACCCACTCGCCTCGGCGAGCCGGAGGGTGGGGGTGGATGTGAAACCGGCACCAACCAGTCACTTACATCAAGGTAGCAGGCTGACGGTGGGAATAGGGGTGAAGCGGGAAGTGTCGGTCCGATACCCGCGCCCCGACCGTTGTTACATATACGACTTCGCGGCGCCGCATTGCCTCCCGTCATGAAGGTTCGTGGGCCAGCATATCGGTGCCACACGGCTCGTCAGGGATGTCAGTGCTACGTAGCTTTGAAAGCGCTCCAGCACCGCAGACATGCCAACCCACCGCCCAGCCGGCCGCCCAGCCGGCCATCCGGAAGGTAGATGCATACATGGCGCGCGAAAAGATGAGGGCCGGTTGCAACAAGGTGGGCAGCGTGAAGATCGAGAGGATTGTTCTGGTGGGTCGGGCGCGGAGGCAACTATCGAGTAGGACGACCCGATCGAGCACTGGTGAACAATCGCCCGCCTCTGTCCGCCATCCACCCCTGCCAGGAACCGCGGTGCCCCCACTCCGGGAATGCGACGCCAAGCGAGAGCGCAACAGCAGCACCGCGCTCACGACGCGCCCAGGGATGGCGCTCGACGTGTGGGCTCAGGGGTGCACGGTGGTCTTTCGCAGCGCCAGCCTTTGCTCTGCCTGACAACGGAAGCAGGCTCAACCAGGGCCTTTCTCGAAGCCTCGGCCCGAGTAGTGCGTGACTAGCGGATGGGTTGGTGCAGCGCTCAGTCCCAGCTGAGGAGAAGCCACAGTACTCTATCTGACCCGTGGATCGGGCCTCGCCCACACTGGCGACGGCGTCGGCTGAGGTCGCTGGTTGAATGGTTGCAGCTACGTATTGCCTGCTGCCAGCGAAACGTTGACGATTGCCCGGATATCCGAAATCAAGTGGGGGATGCGGGTGTGGCGGTCTGTCTTGCCTTGCAGGTTCCGTGAAGACGAGCGGTCTCATCTCCTCTTCCCTGGTCCCAAACCGCCCTGCGTCGACGAGCGCAGAGTCTCGCCTCCCTGCAATCTCTGTCTATAAGAAGGACAAGCCTGGCCCTTTTCCAGCCGCTGCTCCATATCTCTCAACCCGCAAGATCTCTCTCCTGCAGCCACAACGAACCCTCATTGCTAAACTACCGCACACACGCCCACTCATCATGAAGCTCACCACTGGCCTTTGCGTCCTCGCCGCCTTCCTGGCGCTGGGGATCTCGCGCTCGGTCGCAACGCCGCCCCAGAGGGTCGCCTACTCGGTCCCCGGCGGAGGCCGACTGATTGCCGGCGAGCTCTTCCGCGGCGACCCCTCGGACAGCGACTTCATCGTCGACGGCGGCGCCCAGAACCTCATCTGCTACGAGCAGCCGAGCGGCAAAGGTACCTGGAACATCCACCACAACGGCAAGCCCATCTGGAACAGTCCTGCCAAGATTGGCCAGACCGGACAAGACGACATCGGCGCCTGTCAGACTCCCGCATCGTCGGGCGGAGCCTACCAGGCTTACATGTCCGGTTCGGCCCCCGGATATCAGCTGACCGGTGAGCGGGCTACGGAAACACTCTCAGTCTCTCTTGGAGTGCGTATGTCGCGAGAGCCGAGCTGACCTAAAGCCGCGCATCGTCCTGTCTCGCCGGGTCACAGTGAACGGCGCTTTCAAGACCACCAGCCTTCAGCCGGGAGAGCCCACTGCCTCTTGAGACCGGGACAAGGGTACAAGGCAAGGGCATGGTGGTCGCAAGACCCTACGCTCTACTGCCGTGACCGCGTAGATGGTCTCGGTCCGGACGGTACTTTGCGATGCGGGTCGGTCGTCCCTGCAAGAGCTTATCGGCTTGCCGGAGCCTTTCCTGGCCCTGAGCGGTCCCCCTTGTGTCGAATTTCGGCCGCAGCGCACTTCATCGACATTGTCACCATCCGTCTCCCTCCGCAACCTTGTCGTTTCACGTTCTGTCCCAGAGTCGGCCTATCGTCGTTTCCACAATGATTCAGCACCATTTCTATCCTCGCGATACACCAGATCCCGGGGCTGCTGGTTGAGCTGCTGCGATGTCTCGTGCCCTTGCTGGGGATCGATGAGCCGCGCGAGGCTTGTACGAAGGTGGGTCGGAGCGAGACTGGCGGAGACGTGCATGGGCATGTGTTTGCTGCCGCGGGCATTGGCGGATGCGGACACCTTGTCGGTCGCGACGCTCGCTGGTAGACACCGACCCATGACGACTTGCAAGCTTGCTTGCGCGAGCTGCCCAGAATCGTGCGTCGCCCCTTCCCGATACAGGATCTTTGCCATCGGATCGAGTCGTCGGCCTCGTCGCTCGGCGCCCCGTTCCTGCTACGCCGGGACGTCTTGTCAAGCTCTCGTCCGACGGCCGATGGCCGCTACAGCTGTTCACGATTCGCTCGCAACTCAGCCCGCCTAGCCGCCAACGGAAACTCACAACTCAGAGCGTGGGTCCGGTCATCGGCGCCATGCTGCTTGCCGGCGACTGCTACCGCACCGCACGATCCTGGCGAGCATCCACACGCAGCGAAATGGCGTTGCACAAGTTCCGTACCCGACCCGTCTCGCTGGGCTGAGCCTATCTGTCGCGTGCGATGCGGGCTTGGGAGGCAACCAACCCGCGCAGGGTGCTGCGATGTCTCAATCGGGCTGTCTGAGCCTTCGGGCGATGCCGGCAGCCCGAATCTTTGATCCCGTACGGCAACGGCGGTGGCCATGGCCAAGGGCGAGCTGAGCGAGCTGAGCGACGCGGCGCCCACGCTTCTGCGGCGAGTGCTTAAAGTGGCGGGTAGCGGCGATGGTGGCGGGCAGGCGCGGCAGGTCGAGATGGTCCGCGGCGCAGCACCTGGGGCCAGGCCAGGCCACGCTCATCATTCTCATATCGACGGCCGGCGACTTGATTCGCTATCGGTACGGCGGCCTGGCCTGCTTCGTCCGCCCGGTGAGCCCGCGCGAACAGCAATTTTGCCGCTGGTCGATGATGGGTTGCTTGGCCGCAGAGTGCGCTGGGCGAGCTAGGCTGTATCACAAGCAAGCTAAGGAGGAAGCAAGAGAAGACCGGGCGCTGCTTGCAGGTTGGCTGCAGGTAAACTAGAAGCAGGCTTGCGGTAGCGCGTTCGATGTCGTCGTCGCTTGGCACGAGTCGGCAGCGGCGGGCAGAGAGCCGTAACCTAGGCCTAAGCAAGCAAGCAAGCTAGGTGAGTCGGGGCGCTGCTTGCTATTTTCGGACAGGGCCAGGCCAGCGGCTCCGAGCTTGGAGCGAGCCAGCTCCAGCTGCGAAGGGTGGCGGCTGGGCAGGCAGCTCAGCAGGCCAGGCTGGGCTGGGCTCGAATTTTTTCTTCTTCTCGTGGACCCTGCCTGCGCCCTGGAAGAAATCGCCGGAGGCCGGCCCAGCATGAACGGCTTCCACGTGCGACAAACAGCCTACGACGGGCAGCAAGGCAGCCTAAGCAGGCAGTGCGTCAGCTCTGCTTCGGACCGGGCAGTCGGGCTAGCGTCGAGCTTGAGTAGACCTGGCTGCGTTGTCCCCAGCAGTGCGTCGGAACAACGTAGGGCTACGGAGCATCCAGGATCCGGGCATGAGTGTGGGTCCGGCGTGGAAGCGCTCGGCTGCTGCGCCCGGGGCTGCGAGATGTCGATGAGGGCGCACCCCCTCGAACAGATAGCTGCGCCTGGCTGCCGACGTGGTTCGAGCAACACCACCGGCCGCCGACCACGAGCCCCTGGAAAGACACACCCAAGCAAGACATACGGGCAGGCCAGGACGTACGGTGCGGCTCGGTGCGTGCGAGACCTTACGGCACCTGCCTGCCTCGGTCTGACCGGAGCTGGCTGCCTGGCTGCCCGCCTGGCTGTGCTGGTGTCAAACTCGACGGCGATGACCATGGCCCGCAGCAGCGGCCCTCACACCCTCAACCTTCTTTTCCTCGCCCTCGTGTTGCTCTAGCTGCTCGCAGCGGCTCGCTGGCTCACCTCTGACCAGCAGCTGCAGGCAACTTGGACGGTGGCCACCTGCAGGGTAAAGTGGCCTAGCCGGTGGCCAGACGGTGGCCTACCTACAGCCTAGCCTGCTGTTTGCCACCATCGAAATCGAGATTGGCGAGTTTGGTCTCGGGGATGCCGATTCAGGTGCGACCGACGAAGAAGTACGTCGTCTGTCATGGTTTGGCGAGCCTCGGAGACGTTCCGGGCAGGTGTGACGGGCAGGCAGAGACCATCGCCCTTTAGAAGAGAGCAAGGTACTCTGTAGCCTACTACAGGTAGGTACACTACTGCCTGACCCAGGACCTCACTCTGCCAGACCCCATCCCATCCCTATCTCATCTGCGCGACACCTGCGGTTTGGCCGGTCTCCCTTCTCGCCCGCTACCTACACGCACCCGCAGTGCATCGGCATCGACCCGCCTGCTTCCTTTGCGCCCAGTCAGGCCACACACCACCGTGCCACCACCACCGCCGCCGCCGCCGCCGCCGCTCTCTTTCAAGCCCTCGAGCCTTCCGCTGGACCCTGCCTCTCTCTCTCTCGCCTCGCCACGTCCTCGACTTTTGGCTGCGTTCCAGTCTCCAGCGGCACCGCAACAGCCTTTGCAGCGTCACCTCCCAGAGCGGACCCCGGCACGGCCCCGCCCGCCTTCCTTGTCATCCACATCCCACGTCCCCACCGCCGCTCCTTATCATCGGTCTACTCCGCCTTCCTCTTTCCCTTCATCGCCACCAACAGTCTCGAGCTTGAGCTCGTTCAGTCCACTCCCCGCCCCGACCTCAACCCCGCAACACGCTCCGCCTCCCCAGCAGCACGCACGCTCTTCGGCCACAAGCAGGCGACCAGCACCGCATACCTCGGATCGGACCACGACACCTCGCACATCCCCCTCTGCGACGGCGACACGACATGGTGGGCGCATCGGTCCGCTCGGCGGCCGGCCTCGGCCTGCTGGCTGCGGCAACCGCCACCACATGGCTCTCTTCAGCGCCCCTCCTGGCCAACGCCGCGTGCGAGTGCGGCTACCTCGACCCCGCCACAAACGCACTCTGGACCGACGCCGCCATCACCTACTTTAACGAGACGGGCACCTCGGACATGGTCACCAACCCGGCACAGTCGCCCAAGATCTACGGCCAGCTCTCGGCCGGTGACACGGGCTCCGGCAGCGAGACCTGGGCCGTCGTCGGCGACCACATCAACGACTGGGAAGAGAGCTTCGGCGCAACCTACAGGAGCGCCGTCAGCTACAACACCACATACATCGACCAGGCCTCCCGCGCCCTCGCCATGGAGGTTTCGCCCGCCAACCTCAAGCACCGCATCGTGAATGGATCCTCCAGTACGTGTCCAGGAAAAGCCTGCCAGCCCTCGTGCTGCTGACACTTCGCATGCAATATAGCTAGGTGACAGGCTCGCTGACGTTGCTTCTTTCCCCTGCCGCTGCTTACCCGTCCACCTGCCGCAACGCAGTCGTCACCCGCAGGCGCGACATCCTCTATGGCTCCTTCCGCGCACAGATCCAGCCGCCCACCTCGCTCGGTCGCGGCGCCGCGTTCAAGTTTGGCGCGTCGTGGAATGAAAGGTGAGCATTGACCCGAACCCGCGGGCACGGTGGGCGCTCTTCTTGCTTCCGCTCCTCGGCCGACGCGCTGACCCTCCCCGATCCTGTCCGTCCCATCCGCACCACCCTTTCCCCAGCGAGACCGTCGACGTCGGCATCTACACGTCCAACCTGGCCGAGAACTCGACGCTGCGATGGAGCTACTCGGCCTCGGGGCACGACGCCGACCCGGTGCAGACCAACCTGACCTGGCTCGACACCGAAGGCTTCGTCGAGCACCGCTTCGACTGGCTCAGCGACAAGCTCATCCAGTTCCGCAACGATGCCCCCAACGCCACCGTCAACTTCTACGCCTACGAAAAGGGAACCAACGCCTCCAACATCCCCACGGTGGCCGCGCCCATCAGCTTCCAGGCCTGGGCCAACGGCGAGCGCTCCCAGTCGCAGGGACCGCCGATCAACAACCCGCTCGTCACCCGGATCATGTACACCCGCTTCTTTTTCAACTCGAGCCTGACGGAGCGGCACGACGAGTTTGACGCCCAGTGCCAGGCCAGCGGCGGCGCGGCCGTGTGCAGCACCGAGGACCTCACGCTGCGCGAGCGCACCGCCTTTGTGGCGGCGGCGACGGCCAAGCAGAAGGCGCCAAAGTGGACGAGCACGACGCCGCTCTGGTCCGGCATCATGCTCGCCATCTCCGGCGGTGTCTTTATCATGACCATCGCCCATGGCCTCGTCGTCCGCAGGATCAAGGCCGAGGAGAAGAGGCGCCTTGCCGCCATCGCCGAGGCCGAAAAGCACCGCTCGCACGACGGCACGGCCACCCCTGGTGCATCCACCGCCGTTGGCGGAGACATGTCGCTTGTCGACGACGCCCGCAGCTCGTTTATCCACACGCCCGCCGGCACGCCTGGCACTATGACGCCGGTCGGCATCACGGGCGCCGCCGGCGCCAAGCACGCCTTCGACCGCCCCTTTGACCTGTGGGCCTCTCCGGACCTCGTTTACGACTCGGACAGCGACAGCGACAGCAGCGACGACGACGATGTCAAGAGCTGGTACAGCATGGACGACGCGCGCGACGAGAAGGTGCGACTCCCCACACTGCCCAGCTACTCGTCCAAGCCGGACCTCAAGCACGCGGCCAGCGGCGGCTTCGAGCGTGCCAACGGCGGCACCGAGACGCCGCGGTGGGTGGGCGAGCTCAAGAGCAGCATGCCCTACGTGGCCCCCGGCTACGCCTCGTCGAGGGCCGAATCCCTCTTCGGCAGCCACCTCGGTCACGGACGCTCGGGCGGGGCCACGCCCGAGGGCTACTACAGCGAGGTCGACCTGGCCGGGCAGGACGTCTCGGGCCAGGTGTTTGAGAACGGCGGCAACGCCACCGACGACGACGAGATGCAGGAGCACCTCGTGAGCCGCCGCAACTCGCAGTACGACGTCTCGAGCATGGGCCACTCGACGTCGATGGCGTTCCAGCACGAGGGCAGCTCGAGGCGCAACTCGGTCATCCCTTCGGAGCTCCAGCACGGCCACCCGGCCTGGCAGCAGCCGCGGATCATCCAGTGGCAGCAGCGAGACCAGACACAGGCCGACGGCGAGGTGGGCCAGCTGGCTAAGCCCGAGGCGGGCGACTCGGCCACGCGCCGCAGCCGCGCCGTGACGGGCGACGAAGTCTATGCGCAGAAGCCGCTGTTGATGGTGCTGGCGGGCAAGCTCGAGGACATGCTCTTCTCCAAGGGCAGCACCGCCGTCACGTCGACGGGAGCGCGGCGCATCGACTACCTCGACGGCATGCGTGGCTTCGCCGCCTTCCTCGTCTCGTTTCACCACTTTATGCTCATCTACTACTACGGCATCACGACCGAGTCGGCGCCCAAGCACTACCCGAACTTTGAGATCTGGTTCCGCAACATCATCGGCCCGCTCACCGTCAACCAGGGACTCAAGCTGGGCATCTTTTTCGTGCTGCCGTCGAGGACCATGTGCAACCGGTACCTGCTCAAGGGCGGCATCGGCGGTCTGGCCGACACGACGGTGCGCCGCCTGCCGCGGCTGGCACTGCCGACGGCGGGCGCGGTGCTGGCAAACTACTTTTTGATGGACGTCGGCGGCTTCAAGTGGGTGCCGCGGCTGGCGTCGCGCACCTGGTCGACGTGGTCCTACTGGCAGAACTTCCCCAACGTCATGGTCTTCCTCAACGCCTTTATCTCGCTGTGGTGGGCGTCGCCGCCGGACCAGCCGGCGCTCGTGACGGGCTACGCGACCGGCGTGCTGTGGACGATCCCGGTCATCGTGCAGGGTACGTGGACGTCGATGACGTGCGCGCTGATTGCGCACGAGATCAAGAACCCGTGGAAGCGCTTCAGCTTCTACGCCATCTGCGTCGGCCTGAGCTGGTACGCCAACACGTGGGACGTCTTCTTCATGGCGGGCCTCATCATCGCCGACCTGGACCTCAAGCTCAACTACCAGGTGTGGGCCAAGCGGGGCTTCCCACTCGTCCCGGCCAAGGTGGCGAGGGCGCTGGGCCTGCCGGAGCGGGCATCGAGCTTCCGCGTCCAGGGCCAGGTGCTCGCGTGGATCCTGTTCCTGGCGTGCTGCGTGCGCGAGTGGCTGGCGTGCATCCGCGACTCGCCCATGGGCAGCTTCGACAACAAGAACTACGCCATCCACCCAGACTGGCAGACGTCGCAGCCCAACGCCTGGCTCGGCAACGACGCCGTCAGCTACACGTCTCCGCGCATCGGCAGCTGGGTGTCGGTCATGGCGCTGTTTGCCATGGCCGACCTCAACGACGGCTTCCGCCGCTTCTTCCGCTTCAAGTTCTGGACCTACCTCGGCAAGCACTCGTTTGCCGTCTTCCTGTGCCACGGCATCATCTTCTGGACCTGGTCGGCCTGGCTCTGCCTCAACATGCTCAAGGTCGGCGCGCCCTACTGGGCCACGATCCTCGTCGTCGTCACCACCAGCTACGCCCTGCTGATGCTCCTGTGCGAGTGCTTCACCCGCACCTTTGACTACTGGGGCGGCCTGTTTAGCAAGAGCGTCTGGAGGGCCACGAGCGGCGGCTACAACCGCAAGGACTAAGTTGGGCCCGCGTCGGTCGGTCTGTCGGTCGCGCGCGCCACCGCGTCCGCCCGTCTGCTGGGCACCCTTATCTATTCTGGCCCGACCTCGAGGCCCACACCGCCTCTTTCCGTCTTCTCGTGTCCCACCTAACATATGGCACCCGGTGATTCTAGATCCATCCATTCTCAGTCTCTCTTTTATCGTCTCGCACTCTCGCTGCATCTCTCTTCCAGCCCGTCTCGCACAGGCGCACATCGCTCGTTTCTTCTCCAAACTCTTCTCTCGCTCCCTCTTTCGTCCCCTCCTGACCTGACCTGTAAAAGTATCCAATTCAGCCCGCGAAGATCCACATCCTTTAGGACCGGACCGGACCGAGGTGCGCCGACGTCGATGGTCCTGACCGTGGTGTTGGCGCTCCAGAAAGCCTGGCGGCACGGAATGCGGAACTCGGATCGCGGGTCTGAACCCCTCCGCCCGCCGCCGCTGCGCTCCTTTTTCCGAAGCCCCCTGCTCTCCGCTCTTTGGACCTGCTCCGCCCCCCCCCCCCCCCCCCCCTCCTGCTTCTTCCATCGTCCCCGACTCGCATACCCTTCCACTGCTACGTGCACTACTCTGCCCTTTCGAGGTGAACGTATCCTTCCCCTTTCTCATATTGCCCATCTCGATCCGACTCTACAAAGGCTCGGAAGTGCCACTTCTCGTATCGCCGCCCCGCCCCGCCCTACCTCGGCCCAGCTCGGAACCACCTCGCTCGTCCAGGCACTCGGACGCACCTCCGCCTGTCCATCCCCCGCGCCCACCGAACGAGCAACCACGTCGGTACTCCGTATCGTCCCGAGTCCACACCGTTCCTCTCCTCTCGCGACATCCCCAATTCAGCCACGACACGAACCGCCACGTCGCTCCGAGACGAAAGGGCTCTTTCAAAATGGGCATCGTAAGTCGCCCCCTCGCCCTGCCCCCCGCCTTTCCCGTCAGCCTCGCGACCTTCTCCGCACCCGCACTTACCCCGCCCCATCCCTCCCTTCCCCAACACGACAGACGCGATACATCAACCCGACGGCGATACCGCCCCTCATCATCTTCACGGCACTGTCGTCGTTTGCATTCAACAACTCGCTGCTCGTCACGGCGAGAGCGGACGAGGAGAGACGGACGGCGCTCCTCCATTCCCTCCTTGACGATATCGTCGCATTGCGACGCAATCAACTCCGCTCCCTCTCCTCTATCCCATTGCGGTCGCAACGTGGGATACAAGGCGGGGGACAGAGGGATGAAGACGGACAGAGGGAGAGGGAGCGAGAGAGGGAACTGACGGCCCGACTGGCCTCTGTCCACCCGGACGTGACCCGATTCGGTCTCGTCCCACCCGCTTCTTCCCTCCTCCTCCACCCTTCCTCCCAACAACCAGGATCTACAGCAACTCCCGGAGCAGCGCCGGGGCCGGGAGGGATGGAGGAAATCACGTGGACCCAAATCTTCTTTGGCAAGCGCGGAGAGACGTCGAAGCGTTTCAGAGACGTCGTCGACGGTATCCGCGCCTCCTTCACCCTACCCTCCTCCCCTTCATCCCTCTTGGGCGGCAGCGGAAGCGGCGGCACCCGGGAAACGACAAGAGAACAAGAGGAACGGCTACGGCGCCAACGGGAGGAAGAGGAACGGCTGCTCGCCTCGTGGCGCGAGGTTGTCGGCTCGGACCTCGACGACGAAGAAGGCAAGGGGAAATGATAGTGACCTGCGACGCTCAATCGGGTCGCTCGCCCGTCTGGCCGCCTCGGTGAATACACATGCGACCTCGTCGATCGCCCTTTCCTCTCTGGCCCATCCTGACCCCGCCGCCCAGCTGCCCCTACGACGCTCTCAAGGCCACAGCCCTCTGCGCCACCGTGGCCGCCTGCAGCCCGGGAGCGGGCAGCTCGACGGAAAAGAGCGCATGGCTGCGGTCCTCGTTGAGGTAGACGGTGATGGGCACCTTGGCCGCCGCCGCCGCCGCCTCGCCCTGAGCAGCCACCCACGACAGGCGGCAGGTGCGCAGGCCAATGGTGCTACCGTCGTTGAGCGCCAGCGCCGCATCGTCGGTCCACTCTGCGCCCTGCAGCTTGAGGCCCTGCACCGCAAACTTGCCCTGCCCGCCCTGGCCCTCGTCGCCACCGCCACCGACCTGCTGGGTGTTGAGCTCGAGGTCGAGGCGCAGGTTCTCGAGGCTCGTGCCGGACCGGTGTGCGACGGCCTGCCTCGTCGCCGTCAGGTAGGCGCCGGGCGCAAACAGCAGCCCGAGCGTGACGGGGAACGCGTCGAAGCGGTCCTCTTTTGTCACGCGCTCCAGCTGCTCGAGCCGCGCCTTGAGGTCGACGATCCAGATGGCGAGCGACATGGCCTTGGGCACCGCGTACCGCTTCCAGTTGGCCGGGATCGTCCCCTTTGGCAGCTCAGTCAGCAGCATCCGGTTGTGGTTCGTCTGCCGCGCCTCGCCATCGCACACGGCAATCACCGACTGCAGGTCCTCGCGCACCGTGGCCAGCAGCGCCGCCCCCGAGCGGTGCTCGCGTGCCCAGAAGCGGTAGAGCGGGTCGCTGATGCTGTCGGCGTCCTTGCGCAGCCCCGACACCTTGGCCGGCAGCTCGCT